CAGTCAATATGAAACTCGTCACCTTGCCGATTGTAATGTACTTCGCAAAGTTTTTGGTGCCCAATACTCGCAACACTAAAATAATTAAACAAGATATCTTTTTAAAATGTCATTTTACTCTTGATCATATTATTTTATTCGCCTTGAATTTCAAATCGATTACATATCGAACTTCTGTACATGTTTTTGTCTACTGCCCTTCTGCATGCAAATAATGAAGTCATACTCATGTCACAATAAGTTGAAGCTGATGCCATGAGACTGCGAAGCTGAGGCCATGATGATGCCACAAAATAGCGAGGCGAACACAGCTTCAATTTTCAATGACGCGAAGCTGATGCCACAATGATGCGATGCTGAGGCGACAATGAAGCCATGCGTATGCGACAATGGTGCCACCAAAGCCAAAGCTTCCGCGAGAACTGTACTGTATATACATGTATTAACAATACTCTATTTGATGATTGTCAGTGCTTTGCAGCAATTATGGAATTCTTTATAGTAGTTTTATCTTGAGATTAATTACTGTGCAAAGATTTTAACACAATGGTTATCATAGTCAGCTACAACCACTCTACATGGTACATCATCAGTCACTGCTACACCATTTGGTATATTCAGTCCATCAGTGTTCTTATCAATACGGCAGATGAAACGACCACTTCTATCAAACTTTTGTAACTTATTATTCAAATTAGCCACATATACATATCCCTCCTTATCAATAGCTATGCCACTCGGTGCGTATATTTGACCATCTTCTTGACCTGAACACTTGAATGAATACATGTACTCATCATCTATATTGAAGACTTGTATGCGGTTATTGTTAACATCACCCACAAATAGTAATCCATGATTGTCAAAAGCCATGTAGAATGGACCTTTAAATTGTCCTGGATTACTTCCATAACCTCCAAATGATTTGATGTAATCTCCATCTGCTGTGTATTTTCTTATCCAGTGGCCATCTTTATTTGTTTTCTCAACAACTAACCCATCCCAGTCAGATACATACACCATACCATCAGCAGGTCTAACAACAATGCGTTGAGGATGCTTCATGTTTTCACTGAATCGTTTGATCACATGACCATTCATATCACTGATAACAACTTGTTTATTAGTAAAATCTGTCATGTAGTACTTGTCTTTGAATATGCACAAACCAGATGGAATACATTTTTTAATTTTTGTAATATTTTTATAATTTCCATCCTTGTCTGTAATTTGTAGTCTTTTATTACCCCTCTCAGCTGTAACAATGTCACCATCCTTATCCATTGTAACACCAATTGGCACAATATATTCCCCCTTTCCACTGCCATTTTTACCAATGGTCTTCACCAATCCTTTAATGACATTGATCTGTGCAGGTGTTCCTGGTATTGGCCGATTGTCTATTGTCACTGACACTTTATATTTCCCATCTATTTCTCCATGTACCATCACTGTGTGTGTTCCATCATTGTTATCCTGTACTTTGATATCTTCACTTGATCCATCAGGTTTTGTTACTCTAGCCTCAACCACCTGGCGTGGAATGACTTGTTTTCCTTGATTATCTCTGGTTGTTACCATTATAGTAGCAGTGTCACCTTTGATCAGTTGGGATATTATCAAGACGACAGTTTTGTGGACATGCATTTGTTGTCAGCATTCCTACAGAATCTCTCCCTGGATGAGGTTTAAACTTGTGATTTAGTTTCCATGGTAATCAACCCATCAATTCGTTGTTGGTAAACTTGTTTGGCACTTAAGATCTGTCCAGGATTCCCATGTTGCACCAGTGTCTCTAGGTAGCTACTAGTGCTGACTATGTTTCCATGTTTCATCTCCAGTTCATCAACTTTGATTTCCATATTCTTCACTCTAGCTGTGTATTCTATCTTTAACTGATCCACCAATCTCTCCTTCTTCTGCTTGACTGCTTCTATTTGTCTTCTCAGATCTGCCAAGATTTCATTCATTTTCTTGTTTATCTTTGCTTCTTCTTTACAGCAGGTTTTCAGTTCCTCACAGGCTGCCTTGGCTGACATTTTACTTGTCTCAGCTTCATCTGCTTTCACTTTTAACTTCTTGACCTTCCCCTTTAATTCTTCAGAATACTCATCTGCCACCTCTTTAATATATCTGTGTTGGTGTACTTTATGATCTATGATTGTACACTCCATACATATAGGTGTCTGACAGGTATCACAGTAGTACTTCAACTGGTTATCTGTGTGGACATTGCAGTATTGTATCGGCTGTACAGCAAATGGCTTCTTGTTCTTTGTCTCTTGATTCTCATCAAGTGATAGAACCTGATGAGATTTGGTTGCCTTAGTTTTTTTATGTACTCTAGTACAAGATGTACAGGAGTACTGTTGGCATTCAACACAGATAGAGGTGACTTCATTTTCTTCACAAAATTCACACACTCTAGGGGTAGCAGCATCCAGTTTCTCGGGTATCTTGTCTAGAAGTGAGCTCATGAAGAAGTTAGACTGCAGATCATTTATGGGTATCTTTACTGACCTGTTACAGGTTGGACACATGAAGGTATTGGGTGCTACTTTCTTAGCTAGTTGTACTAGACACTTCTTACAAAATGTATGTTGACATGGTAGTATCTTTGGGGCTGAATACCGCTCTAGACATATAGCACAACACAGGAAGTCTTCATTAATCTCTGCTAGGACAGCGTCATCATCTATTACCTCAGAGGCAGCTACAGCCATAATTAGTCTGTAATATTAAAAATATAATGAATCGGATTTGTGGGGAAGGAATATCATTTGAGCCTGAATGTCCTCCAATGTTTGGGTTGAGAC